ACACACACACACACAGACACACACACACACACACACACACACACACACACACTTGGCAGAGGACTATTCCGTCTTAGGTAAGTTGTACTCTACCCTCCATGGCTTTATGAATGAATAGTTCGTGACCCTGTGATACGTACAATGTTTCACACGTATGAAAAGGGAGGGGCGGGATGCTTGGGGGGAACTTATCAGTGGGCCGCAGAACACCCCCTACGGTTGCCAAACCAATGGGGAGCGGTTTGGGTGGAGAGTGAGAGCAGGGAGAGAGGAGTTGGCTACTGCGTGCCAGATTCGTTTTAATGTCATTGATTCCAAGAAAAAATGGCACCCAGTAGTCAACCCTGCTATGATGTCCGTGTACTGACTGGCAGCGTCTCACGACCGCACACTTCCTGCAGAGGGACACACAAACAACATCAAACAAACCCTCACGGAGATTGAAATCATTGTTTTGCCGTTCCACTTACAGACACATACACAAAAGCACAACCATCATGTCGATGTCAGCGGCGCAGGCGAGGACAACTCTTAAAGAGGTAATGCAATACGCTGAGGAAGGCATCCACTACGATGACGACGGGGAGCTTGAACTACTAACGGAGAGAGTGCCCAGCTACTTCGAAGTCAGAGTGAACATTCGTGCAAGCATCGCTGCGAACGGAGAGGAGTCGCTCAGAGCACGGATGCTATTGGCACGGTTCACAGAGGCGCGTGATTTGCGTGTAGAYRACARTGCTGATACCGGTGCATACAGCTTGAGAAAAGTGGCTGGTTGGATGTGCACAGAAGGGATGTCTGCTGAAGGGGACGTGGATATGACAAAGCAGCAACAGGGCGGAACATACACAGCAGCTGATTTCAAGAAGATGCTCATGACACAGGCGAGGAAATGGGGAATGCTTATTGAAGATTCTAACGATGAGCTGAAGAGCGGTGCAGCAAAAATTTTGTTGCTGTCGCGTTTGAAGGACATACCGCAAGCTCCCCCGCAAGACTTCCAAGATCTTCCAGTCATTATTGCAAACGGGGTGGAGTATGTTTTACTCGACCAGCTGGTGGATTTCATGCAAAAGAGTCCTCAGGATCGGAATGTTATACATGAGGCATTGCATGATGTGACGGAGCAAGCACTGGCGAGCAAGGACCTCGTTAACTACAAGGTGCGGACTGTGGAAGAGGATGTCATATGTGGAACTCCATTATGGGATGAAATATTCATGGAAGCTTTGCATCGCCTCACCATCGCGACTTCTTAAGTGGACAGAAAGAGGTAAAGGGAGGAAGGATGGAAGTTGATCGCCAGGGAAGCAGATGTTGCACTTCAAGCTGCAGATGGACACACATCATCAGGGGAAGAAATTGACAGAACAGTCTCCTTCGTGCGTGGGAGCATCATCACAGTGTCCAGGGAGGAGGTTGAAGAAGAAGATGTGTTCAATGAGTGGACAATGATAGAACAACAACGGCGATGAGGGTTCGAAGACTCTTCTTTACCAATCGATTTTGACTATGACATTGAAGAAACAACAGTGAGGAACAATGAAAAAGATGTGAAGCCGCCAACATATGAGGTGGAAGTGAGTGGCAGCGATGTGAGCAGCGACGAGGAGGGTGAGGAATATGATGCGTACTGAGATATTGAAGCAGGAGGAGGGCAAGCATCTAAAGGGTGGGCACATGCGATTCTCAGGTTGGCACGTGTTTTCCGTAATCCCCATTTACTGTTGCATGTCGTGCTGAAGGAGGCAACACCTGACGGCGCACTCCAGTATGCAGCACTRACGACCATTATGAGATCATGCTCGAATGGAAAAAGATGGTCACGTATGGGGAAGAATTGGTTTGTCTTGGTCAACAGAGAGG